CTAGATGATATCACTTATATATGGAATCTAACAAAAAGACACAAATGAACTTATTTACAAAACAGCAACAGACTCACCAACAAAGAAAACAAACTTACAATTATCAGTGGGGAAAGGGGGTGGGAAGGGATAAATTGGGAGTTTGAGATGTGCAGATACTAACTACTATATATAAAACAGATAAACAATCAAGTTTCTACTGTATAGGACAGGGAACTATATACTGAAACTACAATGAAAAAGAACATGAAAAGGAATATAGGTATGGGTATGCATGACTGAAACATTATATGGTACACTAGAAATTGATACATTGTAAACTGACTGTACATCAATAAAAAAAGAAAGAAAATTTAAAAAGAAAAAGTTGTAAAAAAAAAAAAAGGGCAGGGTTTAATGCATTTGGTAGTGGTTATCTTAACAGCTAATCAATTTCCTGATTACCTTTCTGGTGCCCTTATAGGCTGCCTGGGCCACGGTGAGGTCTTCTGCTTGGTTTCCGACTTGAACTAGCTGTCAGATGTTCTACTAGTTCTAAATCCACCAGCAGGGGCCTCCAGGAGTTGCACCAGAAGCAAACACCACCCTGCAAATCTCTTCTGGATCATCTAAGGCCAGGCTGGCCCTTGCCTGAGCAAGCGGAGGAGGGAAAGAGGGCGCCCAGCGTCACCATGGCCATCTGTGAACATCAGATTCAAATCCTGAATCTCCGCTGCCACTGTGGGTGCTTTGATGTGTGGCCACTGCAGCTTAACTTTATCCCTTCCAGCAAGGGGACTGCTCTCCTGCCACCCAAACTGACAACCTGCGAGCCCTGACAGCTGAAAGAAATACCACTCAAAAGGAATTGCCAAGGGCAGCAGGTGTGGCTTTGAGAGCCAAGGACAGAGCTGCGAGGTTCCCACAGCACTGCACTCATCCTCAGATCCTTTTCCCGTTCGGTCACTCCGGTCCAGCTCCCCACAACTGCTGTTCCAGCTCTACTAGACTCAGTCAGGGCTTCTGCATTACTAGGGACAGTCAGAGTCAATGTTAAAGGGAGACAGGCCTAAAAAGGTTTCCAAAGGAGCCTCTGACCTAGAAGAACACTTCACACATTTAGTCAAACAGGGGTTTCTCAGAGTTCAGAGAAGACGCTGATATTACATCCCCAAAAGGAAAGGTTGGGTGATTGAGGAGTGATTGCAGCCATCACTGCTGGATGCTGCCTAGGTCAACAAGCCAATACTTCCTGGGCATCTACCATGCGCTCAGAGCTGGGCCCTCTGCTGCGGGGGAGGCAGCTTAGCGGAGGACGAAGAAGTAGCCTCAGACAGTTGCTCACCAGCCTCAGTGCCCGAGAGCTAACTGTGGTGAGTTTCTCGGTCTTAACCTCCCCAGAAATTCTGACTCACTGAGCCTGGCGGTGCTGAATCTGCAACTGTGACACTCACATCCCGGTGATCCTGGTGGAGGTGGTGCCAGAGCTAGACCACCTTTGGGAACCACTGGGCTACGATCTGATTCCTGCCCTCAAGCAGTCTGCAACCCACAAAGCCACGCAAAGCCACAGAGGCTTTTTACGATCAGGCTCCAAACGTCATAGGAGTTCCTAAGGAGAGGCCAGTCAGTGAAGTCCTGAGCATTCAGGGTAGACTTTGTGAACGTCAGCCCGGCTTGACGGTCAGGCAGGACTTGGACAGAAAAAGCCAGCCCCGTGCAATCATCTTAACCAAACCCCCGATTCAGCAGGACAGGGAGGCCACAGTGGGCAGCATAAATAAAGATGGATACAGAAACTATCAGACCGCCCCCAAACAGGTAAAGAGGCTTCCCATATTGAGTGCAGGGAGGAGACTGTCACCAGGAGAATCATAGAACTGGTGTTTCCAGATAACACCACGTTTGCATTTGCATTCTGCCGCATTCATGTGGTTTCCTGCACTTCATAATTTTAACATTTGTAAGAGAAAAAAAAATGCTGTTATGAAACCCAAATAATGCACTGCTCTGAGGCAGACAGCCAGCTGCTAACAAGAGTGACATCTGAGCATCATTTCAAGTGTCGTTCGTTCACAGCTCTGCTTCAGAACAGGGACATTTAGTAAGAAGGAGAAATAACAGATTCTGTTCAATGTAAAACAAAGTTAGGGTTCCACAGAATGAAAGAAAGGGCTGGCAGAGAACCCAAACACAGGGACCGTGGACACAGAAGGAAGACGTGAGATCTGCAACAGAGAGAATAGAGGACAGTAATTCAAAAGCAACCTATCTCGTTTATTCAAATACGATACTCATATAACACGGTGCCATGTTTTCTTTCATGTGGCAAGGGAAAAAGTGGTGAACAAGACAGTGCAAGGCCTGCTTGACCCAGGGGCTGGGTCACAAGATCACTGCCAGCAGGAAGAAGGAAGCCTAGGTGCCTGCCCCTTCTCTCCACACCAGCTGGTCCAGTGAGCCCCCTGTGCCAGCGATGACTTGCTGATGGCACACGATTCAATCGAGCAAGGATCAAAGGGTACACTTATTTAAGTAATTTCACAAGAGTGAACTGTGGAATTTAAAATCTACAAGCAACCTTGGACATCACCAAGGCATGCCCTGGCGTTTTTACAGGTGACTCATTCCAGGAGGCTGGATAAGCTGTCCGAGGTCACCAAGATATGTGGGCAGAACAGGGCTTCCTCTGAGGACTGTTTCCAAGAAATACATTGAAGGCGGCTGATAAAACCTTCCTTGGAAATCCATGTCATTTTGGTGTCGAGTTTGGAATTTGTTTATTATTTATTTCTAGCGTTTGAATTCCACCCCCCAAATAAGACTGTCATTCTGGGCACTGTGTTTCGTTAAAAGGTTCTCGATAAACACTTGATGAACAGGATTTGAAACTCCCCCAGACCTCTCACCTTGCTCAGCCCCATACTTCATTTCCAGGGTAACAACTTGCCATCAGATTGAATCTACCATCCCTTGTATGATTAATCCCTTGGGCTCTCAACTAAAATAGAATATATGGAAGATAGAGTTGGTTTGCTGCTTGCGTGTTTAGTTGTCTGGGTCCCCCCTCCCCCGCCTCTTTTGGTCTTTTCTAACCACAAATGCATTCTGCTCACATCGAATTATTCTGCAAATTTCAGAAATGAACACACCAAGTAAATTTAGTTGCTCTCTAAACTTGAACAACGTTTTCTCAACATCCTGTTGCTTGGGTTGTAGAGAAATAGCCATGTGCTTGAGTAAGATGTCCCAGGACACCAAAGAAATGGCGACTGATGAAATTTAAAGCTAACGAACGCCAAGAACTTCCGATGACTTACCCGAGACCACTTGTGTTTCAGGACCATTCGTGCAGGCTGGGGTCTGCTCCTTCTCTCTTGCTCGTGGTCTGCAGCAGGATTATTTTTGAGGCCTCAAAATAAACTCTTTCATTTTGTTCCAGAATGCTGCAGTCAAACAAAACAAAACGCCAAGTCAGAATGAAAAATAAATGCCACTTCAAGCAGTCAGTTGATATTCAGGGGGAAATCCCTGGCCTTTCTCAGATGTATATTTTATAACCTCAAACAAGCATGTTAATTACCAGAACGATGTTATCACACAACAGATCTCCATATGGTGCCCTAAAATGCTGGAGAGGAGGAGGGAGGAAGGGAGAAAAAAGACAACAAAGCACCTGCTGGGACAGGCACTACCTCTGATGGTATGCCATATACCACTGGCCGTGTGCTTGCAAAATTTCAAATTGACTAACTGAAATAAGTAACTAAAGGAGGATTCATTACGTTGAAATAGAGATACTACTGTGCAGTCATCATGAACAGAAAGTGGAGAAAGTTTTGTTTCAAGTTAAAATTCATCTGAGTCTGCCCATTAAAGACTCAGACTGAACGAGCTAATGTTAATATTTTTAAATAAAGGGCTATCAGGATTGAACAGAAAAGGCAACGTGTGGGAGAGAGGAAATTTTCCTTTTTGCACCACAAATAGGTAACTGGGTTTCTGTTCTGACTCGATGTATCTGGATAAAGACCTTCCCCACCCAAGTTGGAAAGTGGCATTTACTTTACACACTGACCGTGAAATGAAGGGGTAAAATCTGCGTGCCTGACTTTACCCCACTCCGAGCAGCTGCGTGTGACAAGGTCGCTCTGAGAAGTTCCCTTCTGCCTTGTGAGCCTCCAAGGCTCACTTGTCACAGGGTGTTGTTCTAGCTGCTTCTGCTGCTTAGTCAAATCCACCCCACTGTTTGTTCCTTGACAATGGCCATTTGAGAGCCTGGAAACGGTCTTCAAAAGATGTCTGCATCCTTTTTGAGCCCTTTCTGAGCTCTTCCGCATCGATTTTGAAAGCCCATTGGAAGGTTGTCACCCAGTTCCCTGACTACGGTGACTGCATCCTACTTGTAACTCTAAACCTTCCATGAATCTCCAAAGGTCCCGAGGCAATCGCCAAAGATTTTGTCATCAAATGACCCACTTGTGAGAGACAGGATAGACTTTTTGTGCTTCAGGAGGTTGCTATGTGAATAATCAATTCCTTGAAAGCCTTCTGGGACTATTCCTTTATAGAATACTCAATGTTTTTTAAAAGGACTTTTTTTTTGTTGGGGGGGTGTATACTGGTTAAATTCATGTAGGCACTTAAAGATCTGGAAGAGGAGGTGAAAGCCACTCTTGGTTAATGTTTAAACAAGGGAGTTGAGTGTAAGGCCATTGTATTTTCAGTCTGGCTGGAAGAGCAACTGTCTGAAAATGGCAAAGACTTTTTTTTGATGCTATCAATACCCACTGAAAGTGGGGTTGTAACGATTTTATTAGTTTTCTGAGCAGTTTTCATGAAATGCAACTCAGCTCCCACTCAAATGTGTAACAGTAACATATTGATACAAATTAGCACAAGCCAGGAAGTTCAAAGCATGACAACTTGTCTTTTAGCTTACCGTTTTGATAAAAACAGAATTTGGAGCGAGAAGGATTTAAGCGAGCCCACTCAGAGTTACTGGCTGGTATCAATCTTCTTTTACTAAAAATGAACTGCTGCTTTTCTCTTATTTGTTGCCAGCTTTATCTCTTGGTATTTTAGAACTGGAGATGTCTTTGTCATCTAGTCTAAGATTCTTCTGTAAATAAAGCTGCCGGCTCAGAGAGGTTGACAGACCTCTTAAAGTCACACAGCAAGTTACTTTGCGCTTTGACTAGACTGGGGATTAATCCCAAGGAATCTTAATGGACATAATGTCACTGAATGAAATGGAATGTGTTGGTCTGAAACGTTGACCAGCAGCACAATACTTTCTCATAGTACTCTTCCTCTCTTTTTCTGTTTTATTTTTGCCCCTAAAGAAAGAAATTAATTTCTGGATTATATTCTTGTCACCAAGTAGAGCAAAATTTTCTGGGAGAGGCAGAACAGCTCCATGATTAGCTCAGGACCCTTCACCAGCTACCAAAGCCAGGTGTCCAGAGGAGTAAGGTTTAGATTATTTGCAGAGGAGGGGAAAAAAAAAAAAAAAACTCATCTAAGTGGCAAGATTTTCCATTCTTGTCTCTGTAGATGTGAATAAGATGGAAGTGATTCACCTTGTGATTTATAGCTTGACACTCAATTATACATAATGCAACAAGTATGAGACAATTTTTATCAAAAGAAAACCATTGAAAATTCTACACACCTCCTTTTAAGCAAGACTTGCAATAGACGCCCCTCCTTCAGCAAACTTTTCAGCAGTGCTGCTAATCACCCAGAAAACAAACTGGCTTGAGTTTAATCTCCTTTGCCTGCCTGTTCTTGTTTGCCAGTTGAAGTTATAAATAGAGATAAGACCAAAAGTCCAGAAAGGAGAAAAGAATGCCAGAGGCTGAGAGCATTCACTGATATGCCTGAACACTAAAAGTCAGCTACATAAACAAGGATTTCACTCCAGATGATATCCTTGCAGAGTTTTAAAATTTGATAAGCATTTTTGTGACAATTTTCTGAATAGCTTTAAGCAGCTGCAGCATTGTACAGTATATCAACATAAGTTAAAAACAGTGGCCAAGAAGCCATGAATTTTTTTTTTTTTAGTTTTAGTTTTGCAGCTAACTGGATTTTTACATTTAAGTCACAATCTCCTAAACAAATAAATAAATAAAAATGAAAACAAGGCAATATTCCTTGTGCTGTACAATATATCCTTGTAGCAAGGAATATAGCCAACATTTTATAATAAATGAAGTATAACCTTCAAAAATTGCGAATCACTATATTGTACACCTGTAACTTACATAATATCATACAGCAACTACACTTCAATAAAAGAAAAGTGTTCCTCTTAAAAAAATAATAAAAACAATCTCCTGAGTAGAACTAGTTCCTTACCTATCAAATAAAAGAACATAAGTAAATCCTCTCCATAATTAATTCCCAATGATAATTCAAGCTGTTCTTACACAATTTGAGCATACCATATCAAATAAAATCTCTGCAAACACAATTATATCTTATATGATCTATTAGGTACATCTTTATCCTAACTCCAACGAGACACAGACTGCATAGAAAGAGAGTAATGGGTTCATGGTGGAATCTCACCTCAGTGGGGGTTGGGAGTCACAGAGAAGTTCATCACTTGCCCAACACCACACGTATGTGACAGAGGAAGGAAGCAAACTTCAGGTCATCTGACTCCAGAGCTTCAGCTCGTAATGACTGCATGTCAAGACCCCACCAGAAGTTGACACAACATTGTAAACTGACTGTACTTCAATTTCTAAAATGAGGAAAGAAAAGACCCCTCTAGAATAACCTATTCTCCTACTTTGGATGTGAAGACCTGAAATGTGACTTGCTACTGCAAAAAGTCTTGGCATCACATAGTTTACACAAGCAATATTCAATGCATATGCATTTATACCAAACGTCTCAACCTGCCTCATGGCTCTCGAACTCTTTAATTTCCGATATCCCAAACATACTACGATCTGTACTCAACTGTCCAAGAAGATGGAAAGGCAGTCTCTTGCTGTTGGAAGTGTGATCTCGGACTGGTTAATGTGAGTCTGGTTAAACTGGCTGATTTAAGTATCAGAGAATTTCCAGCACAGTTTGCAAAAGCCCTAATATATTTCTATAGACCAAATGTCATCCTTTTGCACAGAGAGTTCTCCCTAAATCTATTTACTAAATGGTAAGGAAAAGAACAAGATACTGAATAAGAGAGCCACAGTAAATTCTGCTTGAATTTTTTTAAATAATAAGGGAAAATCAATTTTCAGTTGGCAAGAGAAAGTCACTAAGGATTCCAACAATATTAAAGTTCTTAAGTAGGAGCTGGCAAAAATACAAAAATCAAAAGCTCTTGCATTGTATAAATTACAATGGCCGTTGTTTCTTTAATTATTATAACAAATTAAGACTTTTCCATTCTTTCCCTAATGCAGACACGTGAACTACAGAAAGGGAAAGAAATGACCTCGGCATTTCTACCTCAACACCAATTTAGAACGCCGTTGTTGTCAGAAAGGACCGCTGCTGGTTAATGCATCGTTCTTATTTTTTAGGAAGGAAATGTCCCTCAAGTAGCCAGAAACACGGTCCCCATCCACACTGTGGCATCCTTTTGTTTTAACTGTTAGTACTGTGCCCACAACCAATGGAAGCCAAAGAACTGGAAAGAAAGACTCATAAAAAGAAACACAACAAAACCTACTGCCATTTATAAATCTTTCTGTTACAAAAAGCGACTGTGTTTTATAAAGGCATATGATCATCACCAAAGGTAGCTTTCGCCGTTTAAAAATACCAAACAGTAGTAACAGCTGCAAAGCTAGGCTGCTGGGACTTAACCTGTAATTTGGACAATTGGTGTGGGGATGATATTACTTTGTCTTACAACGCAAGAAGACGACTCTACTCATAAACACGCAAAAATGTCTAAAATAGAGTTTTAAGACATGGGAGTTTGGAAACGGAAGTTTAAAACAGCCTCAAAGATTATAAGCAAAGTAGTTTAATACAATGAAGTCTTTAAAAAGAGAGGCAATCAGATAAGGTGGTAAACTTTCCTGGGCCTTCCTCCGAATAAAGTAAGAATTTGAACAAAAGTACCTAATAAAAGCCACTTTTTATTTTTGAAAAATGAGGAGAGGGTAACATATATTATATATTAGCCAGTGTATTTAATAGGTTGATCGATTCCATTGTAAACATTCTGTTATCCTAAAAAAAAGAAAAAAGAAAAAGGAGGAAAAAAGGTTGGAACAAATTTGGGAAACACTTTTGAGGGACTCTGGTGATTACTATGTATTATAAATCTCTAAAAGGGGGAAAAAAAGCATGCATCTTGGCCCAAAATATATTTGACCACAGGACACTTTTCCCAGAAGAAATAATAATCAGTAGACGTGCACTGACCAGAATACAGCCTGGTAAACTACACCCTAGGCCACTGGTTCTTAAAGTT